GGACATTGATTATACGCAGCATTCTTCATTTCCCAAAAAATAATGAGGAAACTCATGTCCACTAGTGCTAAGGCTCACAAAAATGTTTGGGCGTCATTTAATGGATCTAATAATGAAGCCAAAGATGGGACAGCATCAAACACTGATGGCCAAAATGTATTTCCTAGTTATAATTCATCACTCTAGAAAGAAGCTTGGCTAGAATTCCAACTGTGTTGAATGTAGTATGAGCTATAAAATTAATGCTCAAAGACCAATTCATAATTATAATTCATCACGCAGAAGGGAAAAAAATTTTTTTTTAAAAATTTTACCATCGAATGCCTCACTAATAGATGATTGCTCTCGATAAAATGTTATCACAGGGATCACTTTTGGATGCTTTGGTTTCTCGGAAAAAGCTTTCTCAGAGATATGAGGTACAATCGGGTTGAAGCAAATCAGGAAATTGCAACTAAAGGGACATATTTTCTCCCATACAAACATCAGTTTTTAAAAGCGATGTATCCAAATCTCAGGAAATTAGACGCATCCAGTCCTAACTTAGTCCTCATTTCAATTTTGTGCATTATTTACATGGCTTATTTTGGATTCGTTTTTCTAAGAATTATTAGCTTCCTTTTATCTATGCAATGCAAAAACGCATATTATCAAGGAGTTATCTGTATGCATGTGTGTTCCTTTTATTGATTTTTCATCTAGAAACGCAGAAAAGCTACAGAGGTGAAAATTTGGCAATTTTGAGGGAAGAGGCCAATGTGCGGAGGCCAATAGATCACTTCCCTGTGGAAAAAGCACGCGGAAGTTTCGGTGGGAGAATCGCTAATTCGAAAGTCAGAAGAGCTGGAAGGCTGAAATTTTAAGGGGGTGTGGGGTGTTGCTTGACTTCAAATTCAGCCTCCAACTGTGCATGGTTACCACGTAGGGACTCATGAAAATTTTTGGCGGGCACGTTGTTAACTCGGTAATCAGAAAAGCTAGAAAGTTCGAATTTTGAGAGGATGTTTTCAAAACCGTAGTGGCCAGTCGCAATTCTTTCAGCTAAAAGCATGTGCCAGAAAACAGCGCTCTTACTGACAAAGACCTGTAGAAGACTGTGCAAAATACACATCTTCGCATCGGCAGTCGGTGCGCTGGCCAATTATTATTGTTTGTTTTGTTATGTATTCCAAATTTTCCAACTATTTCTGCTGCGTTTTTACTATTTCTACATTGAGTTTGCTAAATTATGAGTTCGCTTTCGGCAAAATTTCGCTTTCTTTTAAAATTTTTGCTCCTCTTTGCATCCTTAAACTCCAGACCTGTCTAAGAAATTGTAAAAAATCGTCTGTATGATAGCATCGAGTTATTATTAGATATATGCTTGCATTGAGCAAGAATGCTTCAAATTGAAACGATTTATTAACTGAATCAATAAAAGTAAAACAACTGCACATAAAAAAAAGTAAATCAGATCCCCAATTTACTGAACAAAACTAAATGACCTGATAAACAGCAGGATGGTGATTCGCTCTCAATAGCCCATCTTCATCTTGAACGGAGCCCCCCTTTTGAAAACCGTTATGGACCGGAAAGGATTCGAATTCCCCTTCCTCCGTCCCCCCCCCCCCCCCC